TTTATTTATTTATTTATTTATTTATTTATTTATTTATTTATTTATTTTTTTTGAAAAGCATACACCGGTCCTTGTCCCCACTCCCCCAGAGTGCACGGTTTGTAAACTTGTGAAAATGGTAAAATTTGTGAACTACCCTTAAGTTGATCTTATTATTCACTGGACCATGAGTGTCAAAAACTTTGATGGTCACGCATGAGTTTGTATGTTTCTACACTGTTTATGTAGTTGATGAGACAAATTTTTTTTTTTTAAAGACCACACTATTTCAAATAGGGTCCCATAATTTAATTTATAATCTGAATATTTTATTTGAAAACTGACTAGATGCAAAATGATGTTTTAATGGAATAGTAAAGCTTCAATGTGTATGCATTGGCACCTTTAATAAATTTAGATCTTTTGATACTTTGTGTTAAGTTTAAAGATGTTAAAATGCTAATATCTTTACTTTGTTTTGTACTTTCCTTTTTTGATAAAGTGGATGATCAGTGGATGAATTACATCTCCTTTGCTGGTCTGCGGACTCACGCTGAGCTGGAAGGACGCTTAGTCACGGAGCTTATTTACGTTCACAGCAAAATGCTCATCGCTGACGACAATACAGTCATCATCGGTTAGTCGGGCTCTCCTCTCATCTCCTCCACTCTTCTTTCTGTGCTATTTTCTTCAGATGCTTTTTAAGAATTCAGCTACTCCTTTTGACACCAACAAAATGTGTGAAAATTGAAAAATGTGTCAAAAATTCTGTCTTTCATTTTTACGTTTTTCACCATGTGTAAAGCAAAAAAAACAAAACAAATGTGCTGTAGATGCTGTCAATCATGGTTGAGGTTGTATGCTCTAGGGCCCTACCTGCTGGTAAAGAAGGTTCATAACACACAATTAAAAGGGGGCACTTCAAATAAACCTGAGTTGTGAATTTTATGCTTTCTTTTTTACAGGTTCTGCTAACATCAATGACCGAAGCATGCTAGGTAAACGTGACAGTGAGGTGGCTGTGATTTTTGAAGACTCTGAGAAAGTTGCGTCGGTGATGGATGGACAGGAATACGAAGCTGGACCTTTTGCACTTCAGCTACGTCTTGAATGCTTCAGGTATGATTCGTGATGGTTTGTGAGAACAACAACAAAAGAAAACCCAAAGAACACAAAGACAATTTTTATTATCTCAAATATATTTATTAGCATGTATTATACAATTTATTATATTTTCACTTCACCTATGCATTTTGACTGTACTTCTTGCATTCATCCATAATATCAGTGTTTAGGTTGGTTTATTTGACTTTTATAATTTTTTATCAAATTAGTACATAGTTAAATATTGTACATCTCATTTTTCTAATGCATTTAAAAATGTATACTGTTGGAGAAAATTGTATTCTCTCTTACCTTCCTTAAATTAAAGAACCACACATGATGGCAGGAGAAAATTTTTAGCTGGTTTGTATTAGCAAGGACAGAATTTCAGGATAGGTTACACAGATATACAAGAAGTACACACAGATATACAGGAAGTACACACAGAGATACATGAAGTACACACAGACATAGATATCATATAAACAATAGATACAGCATTGACCGCTATCGCCTATTGGCGCTGACGAGCTGTAGGGCCGCCATCTTGGAACGGTCGGCCGCTCCACTCAGTGTAACCTGTTTGACAGGAGCAATGAAGTCTTTGCGCGTTTAATCAGTCAGAGCTAAATACTAAACTCATTATCACAATTTTTTTCCTTTGTAAATCTTAGGAGTACAGCCATTACAGTTGAACACATGGTTCAGTGTATTTAAATATTCTTGGTGGGGTTAACATTAAGACTAAGAAAATATTCTTATGACACGTTTGCAAAACTCACAGTCACTGATACATTTTTATTAAGATATATATATATATATATATATATATATATATATATACATACAT